AAAAAAGTCTGAAAGTGGAGGGAGAGGCAGGCAGCGATTAATTACAGCCTGTTGCCTGCTACTCCATGTTTTCCGCTATTACGCTGATCTCGGATAATCAGATGATTTGATTTCCCTGACAACCGTCATCATTAATTTCTTAATTTTATATTAATACCACGGGGAAAACTGTCCTACTTCCCAATATTCTCGAGGCGGTTTTTCGCTAAATAAGGTTAAATGGAACGACGGCTATTACAGCAGCGTACTTTTACCCCTAAAGCTTTTACCAAACCAGAAAAAGAGAAACCTCTTAGTAAAAGATGTCTTCTCCAGCCGTGTATGTTTCGAACAATGAAGGAATCCCTATTCCCAGAGGGGATGAAGTCTTCACCCAAAGGGGAGACAAATTTGGTCCGCATTTCAGATCTCAGTCGACCTCTGCTTCCCTTGGCGCTCTTCGCCGCCTTTGTAACATCCCCCAGGAAATTGAATTCTCTCTTCCTAGACCCAACGAGTCTCCGAAAGTGGTGCGAGAGGGTTATTGTTGTGCGTACGAAGTCTATTTCAAAGGTTGTGGTTTGTTTTTTCCCATACCGGAAGTTCTTCTTTTATACCTCCTCCACCTAGGGATTGCCTTTCCCCAAATGGCTCCCAACTTTCTTCGATACGTTCTGAGCACCCTGACTGTTTCGGCAGAAGCAGGGTCTTCCCTCTCTACCAGCGAACTCTTAGGGCTATTTCGAGCCCGTGAATCCGCAGCAACGGGTATTTTTTCTATAAACCCTATCCTTGACCGTAACCTGATCGACGGAATGCCCTCGAATGATGGGCCTTGGAAGAAATACTGGTTCTTTTTCCGAGTCAATCCCCATTCCGTTCAAGGTCTTTCAAGTCTTCTTCTTGCCAATTGGACGGGTAAACTTGGTTAAAAATCCAACCTTTACTAATTTCCACTGTATTATGTTAAAGAGATAGAATTCTTAACCAGTACTTTGTTTCAGGGAACCAGACGATCCCCCACCCAACCGTTGACTTCTTGTCCTTCTTTCGAATCGTTTCCGAGGGTGAAACAAATTGGAATTCCTTCACCCTTCAACGCATTCATAAAGCGGGGCTCGCCATTAAAGATGGTCAGACTCATCCCCTCGATCCTCCTCCCGAGGAGAAAGACGTCTCGAGCCTGAATGCTCGAGATAAAAGAAAGATGCAGGCTGAAGTCAAGGCTCTTAAGGATCAGCTATCCGAAATTGGAAAAAAGAAACGGATAGCTGCAATCTCCAGGGTTGGTAACTTCCACAGGAAGACCCTTTTGGTTGATGATGGTTCGTTAGAAGCAGGCCTGTCAGCCGCGGTGGATACTCATGGAGCCGAGATCCTTAACGACCCTGCAGTTGCCACCGCAATTTGCCCTCCCGAACCAGGGTGTGAGGGAGAAATAACCTCCTCTCCTCGTACAAAGAGGAAGGCTCCTGATTCCGATAATCCATCAAACGAGAGACTTAAAACCGTGAGATTAAGTTCTCCGCCACGAGTCTCTAGCCCTCTACGTTCTGTTTCTCCCTCTTCAGAACCTTTTAACTCCGAGCTCCCTCTTCCGGGAGACAGAGTAATTTCAGAGGAAATAGATGAGCCGAGACCGGAGGCTCCCCTATCTCAAGGATTGAGTGTTAGGACTCAAAATCCTTTACCCGCTTCTATTTCAGGTAAGTTTTTACTTAGAAAGCGAGCATTAGCAAAAATTGCTGTAGATTGCATTTATTTTATTAATCTGCTATTCTCCTCTGCTTCGCAGGCGGAGAAGAGATTGGAGACATCTTCCGAAGTTTCCAAACCAGGGAAGGGGCGTCCCTTCCTCTTTTTTCAGTTTGGAGGCCGGAAATCCGTCAGATGTTCGCCAATCGAGCTTGCTACCTATCCCAGGTTCGGATCTTTTAGATTATGACAACTTCCCTTCCTTAGGTAAAAGCTTCTCATCTAAACGACACGTTAAGAAGAATACGGCTTTGTTCGAAGAAGCAAATCAAGAGATCGAGCTTTTAACTAGGAACAGGGCTCATGATATCGCTGAGGCCGAACATAATGCTGGAGAAGAGATGAGGGGATTCGGTATGCAACTTATCCAATCTGTCACAAAGTTATTCAAGGACGAAGAGGTCTGGACTAAATTTCTAACAGATCGAGCCGAGCTAAAGAGCAATTTTGACCTGATTAAGGAACTAGAGTCTGGGAGATTTTTGTTTGAGAACGAGAGGAGCGAAGTTGCTGCCGAACTCGCTATGGTTGAGTCCGAGCTATCCTCGGCTTCCCGTCCTACTCTCGATCTGAAACAATTTTCTTTGGTATTTGGAGATTCCCCATCTCAATTTGAGGTAGGTGAAGGTTCTCGGCCACATGAGGGTTCTCCAGAGGTGTAGGAACGTTTTTTTTTTTTTAAGAATTGTTTTGTTGAGTCCATGAGGATTGTTCCGTTTGATGGAAAGATTTTGTTCAACTAGTGTGACCGAACACAACCATGTACATGCTCTGGCATATGATTATTATTTTTTTTTAGCAAAAACGTTTGGATACGATTCTAGGTTTGCAAGTCCTAGCCTGCCAAAGAGGTTTTATGAATTGTGAGAGATGAGCTGATCAGGCTCACTTGCCTTTTTTAAAGAAAAAATCTTAATAAGTATTTTTCCTCGGTCTCTCGAAGGCGAGGATGGAGCTCGGCTTAAGTTTTCTTTTTATTTCGAGGGATAAGATTTTTAATTCATGAGAATTTTGTCATAAATATGACCAGGCAATGATTTCGATCGTTGCCCATGATGGCTTCGGAATCGCTGGGCCGCGTTTTAATTGGATCTGAAGCCTGCTCCAACAGGCCAACAATATATAATTTTTTCTAGAAATCTGAACCCCTTTCTCCTTTAAAAAAGATTCCGAAAGATGACCATAGTTCATTATAAGAAAAAACTTGAAAAGATGTCGCTGTATTCTTTCAGATCAAGCTCAAGAATAACAACTTCAAGTGGGAACCCATTGTTTGAGTCCGAAGACGGATTCTCTCCAAAGGGAGTTATTCACCCAACGTTTTTTCATTTCCGAACAGGGAAGGAAAGGGTCAAATGTTACGACTTCCTGGAAAAGATTCCTTTTCTAACTCTTAGTCTTCTCATAAAACTATAACCTCTTTTCTTTTGGTCATTTGACGAAATGTTCGTTCAAACAGATCGTCGGGAGACACAAAGCTTTATGTGATAAGAGACAAAAAATCGGAAGGAGGCGCCGTGCTCTTGATGAGCGTATAAAGAGGATGGAAAGAGAGATCCTTCGCTTGGAATCTGAGCCGCACGAATGGGAGAGGAATGGTCTAGACATCGTGGCCATAATGCCTACTTGCCTCCGAAGATTCCTCCGCATACTGGATAAATTTCATCGTTTATCCTTGGCGACCAGTGATGGGTCCTCTTTCGTTTCATGTTCCTCAGAGTTCCGGAGACTTCCGATGTTAAGAACTGAAGAAAAAGAGGAACCGGAGACGAAAATTGTTGATGACTTCTCGGCCCTTTTGATTTATCTTCTGACGAGGGGCTATCCTCGGAAAGCTGTTCGGGATCTTCCACCTCGCTGGAGTCATTATCAGGCGAAGACTTTTGATCGAATACTTTCTTATTTATGTTTGTAAAATGTCACTGGTCTTGAAACCCAGCAACATCAATTACATTTCCTCTTTCGCTCTAAATTCGCCGATTTATTCAAATCTCATTTAATGCGTTTAATCTAGGGAATATAATTAGTAATTAACTCGATTACATTTTCCATGGAAGTCGTAATTTCAGATTTGGGAAATCGTCAATTAATCCTCTTAAATGCAATTGAATAATTTTTCGATTATAAAGTGGGTGTAGTCTGTCATTGAATTTCAACAACATTTCTACAAAAATGTTCAAGGGAGGTAACTCATCAGAGAATCCTTCAGACTTGTTCAAAGTGATGAGTGTTGATCCTTCGAAGACGTCGGACATCGAACTTATAAGAGCAGGAGAGTCCGGCGAACCAAAAGATTCACAAATATTGAAGAAGGGAACTAGCATTCAGGTTCCGATCGTTCTAATCGAGAGATTGTTGCCTCAAGATCGTGTTAAGGCTGAGGAGTTTATCAATAAGGTATTTTCCATCCTAGTGATTAACTTCTTTTTGTTATTGCTAAACGTAGCGTTTTATTTTCTTCAGCTTATCACTCGGCATGATGAGCTCGAAGATGAGAAGAAAAAGATTAGGAAACGGATAATGGAGCTAGAGAAGCGTCGCCTCGATATATCTCGCGAGCTTCATCGCCTCGAAGCCCATCCTTCCGATTGGATCGAACTAGGACTTCAGGAGTACGGAAACATGCCAGGTTGCATTATGAGCATCGTTGACTTCGCTGGTCAAGGAGCGGAGTTGTTCCGTAATTCAAGACCCTTCTAGATCCGGTCTTAGCTTAGCAAGAAATATTTATTTATACATTGTTCGCAACGTATCTTTATGTTCATGCTCGAATATCGAATTTATAAAAACAGGATTCCATGACTGGAATAATATTTTTATTTTTATATTATAGCAGGACTCGTGATTAGCGAGCTGCCTACGTACCCAGAATGGGATCAAGCCAAATCGTAGTTCGAATGTGTTTGCTTTAGCAATAGAACTTTTTCAAGATGATTATGTTCCAAGGCCTTTGAACGGGATTTCCATCAAGGTCTTGTAAACGGTATACACCGTTTCGGATTTTTTCAGCGATTTGATAAGGGCCTTCCCAGTTAATACCGAGTTTTCTAGCTCCTTCTTCTTTTGTATTATCGAACATTCGCCTTAAAACAAAGTCTCCTACATTTAAAGGTCTGTTTTTAAACTTTGAGTTATAGTATCGAGCGGTCAACTGTTGATAATTCTGAAGTCGGATAAGGGATTGGTCTCGCCTTTCATTGATTGTATCGAGAACGTCTTCTAATAATTTAGAACTCGACTCTTCGTTAAGTGGAGCTTCGCTTCGGCGCAAACCTGGGACATTTAGCTCGGCCGGGACTACGGCTTCCATCCCATAAACTAGTGAGAATGGAGTTTCGCCCGTTGCCCGCCTCGGGGTTGTTTGGTAAGCCCACAACACAGGTTGCAGCTCGTCATACCATCCACCTTTTCGAGCACTCAAGCGTTTTTTAAGATTGCTGAGAATGGTTTTATTGGAGGCTTCCGCTTGTCCATTTCCTTGAGGATACCTCGGCGTTGAGTAGCTAAGTTTTATTCCCCAAGCGGAACAAAAATCTTCAAAATCATTTGAAATGAATTGAGGACCATTATCCGTTACTATTTCGTAGGGAACTCCATAGCGACAAATAATGTGTTTCCACAAGAATGTCTTTACTACGGAATCTTGTATGCTTATATAATCTTCAGCTTCAATCCATTTGGAAAAATAGTCCGTTAGAACTAAAAAGTATTTGACGCCTCGTGTTGAACGATGCATCGGACTGATTATATCCATCGACCACCTCATGAAAGGGTATGGAGCGGATATATGTGATAGAATTTCAGATGGCTGGTGAATAAGAGGAGCGTGCATCTGACACTTTTTACACTGTTTGGCGTAATCAATGCAGTCTGAAATCATAGTTGGCCAGAAATATCCTAATCGTTTGATTTTGAAAGCCATTGCTCGCCCCGAAGAATGACTACCACAAAGCCCTTCGTGGACCTCGCTTGTCACTATTTCAATTTCGGGTCCGAAAATACATAAAAGATAAGGATCACTAACGCCTCGCTTGTACAATGACTCTTTAATTATACAATACTTAGCGCTGATGATTCTTAATTTGCGAGCTTGCCATTTGTCATATGGTAGTTCTCCATTAAGAATGAAATTTTTGATGGGTACCCTCAAGTCAGCCCCCCAATCATTAGCGGAAGTATTATCCTTGAGTATAAACTTCCTTGGTTCGGGTTCGGAAGGAATGTCAGGATCTTCAATTGTCTCCTGAACCTCTACATCACCTGTAAGTGACTGTTCGGTTCGAGATGGTTCTTTAATGGGAACCTCTTGATCCTTTAACTTTCTTTTTGCCTTTCTTTTAGGACGTTCCAATGGTGGAGTAAGTTCGTCATCTTGAGACTTTACTCGTGATCTGGTGATGACAAGTGAACTATTTCCGTAACTTTGTTTTGGAGTTTCGATGTATTCGGCCGCCGAAATGTTATCGTTTTCTGTTTCTTCAACCGAAATACTTCGCGAGGAAATACATTCAACGGGGATAACTCGTTTGAGTTCAGGATCTGAGGTAGAAGCTAGGGCAGCTAAAGCATCTGACAAAGTGTTTTCTCCTCTAGGTATTCGAACTAATTCGAATTCTTTAAATTTTCCGGCTAATTTTTTTACAGCCGAAAGATAAGCTTCCATTCGAGGAGCCTTAGCTTCGTTATCTCCAGCGAACTGGTTTACAACTAGCTGAGAATCGTAATAAGCTATTATTTTTTCTGCTCCAATCGCAAGAGCAAGCCGAAGTCCTGCTAAGAGAGCTTCGTATTCTGCTTCATTGTTCGAAGCTGGAAACATTAACCGAAATGACTGCTCGATTATTTCCTTTGTCGGAGTTTCGAGCCTAATGCCGATTCCGGATCCTTGTTTAGAAGAAGATCCATCTACATGTAATTTCCGTGTAGAGTCCGTTTCAACAAAGATTCCATCATCTAATGGTAGTTCGGTTAGAAAATCAGCCAGAACTTGTGCTTTTGCGCTAGTTCGACTTTTATATTCTATATCGTACTCACTGAGTTCGATTGCCCATTTTGCTAACCTTCCGGACTGACTTGGCCCGTGAAGAATTGAGCGAAGCGGATGGGAAGTTAGTACTTCTATAGGATGAGATTGGAAATAAGGTCTGAGTTTTCTAGCAGATACGACCACTGCTAAAGCTAATTTCTCCATCATGATATATCTTGTTTCTGGACTAGTAAGAGATTTACTTATGTAGAAAATTGGCTTGATGAAAACTCGACAATTTTATGTAGCAATGGCTTTTGCTCACCTCGGTCCTCTCGAACTAAAACCCCACTTACGGAATGGTTAGAAACTAAAATGTAAGATAAAGTTTCTCATCTAATTCAGGTTTTGAGAGAATCGGCGGTGTTGTCAGATAAGTTTTGAGCTGACCAAATGCTGCTTCGCATTGATCATCCCACCGAAATTTTTTGTTCCCTTTCAAAATTTGATAAAAGGGGAGACATCTATTGGTAGACTTCGATATGAAACGATTTAATGCAGCAATTCTGCCTGTCAATCGTTGGACCTCCTTTATGTTTCTTGGCGAAGGCATAGTAAGGAAAGCGTTAATCTGATTAGGATTAGCTTTTATCCCTCTTTTCGTGACTATGTACCCTAGGAATTCTCCGGAAGGCA